ATTTTGTAGGTTGTGATCATGTCCCCTCTTACTCTTCTGTCTTCCAGTGTCGTAAGGTGCATTTCCCGCAGCCTTTCTTCATAACTCATGCCTCTTAGTTCTGGGACTAGTCTAGTAGCATACCTTTGGACTTTTTCCAGCTTCGGCTGTGTGTGTGTGTGTCTGTGTGTGTCTGAGTATGTTTGGTGTGTGTGTTTGTGTACTCACCTAATTGTATTCGCCTAATTGTGCTTGTGGGGGGTTGAGCTCTGGCTCTTTGGTCTCGCCTCTCAACCGTTAATCAACAGGTGTACAGATTCCTGAGCCTACTGGGCTCTGTCATATCTACATTTGAAACTGTGTATAGAGTCAGCCTCCACCACATCACTTCCTAGTGCATTCCATTTACTAACTACCCTGACACTGAAAAAGTTCTTTCTATTATCTCTGTGGCTCATTTGGGTACTCAGCTTCCACCTGTGTCACCTTGTGCGTGTGCCGCCCGTCTTAAATAATCCATCCTTGTCCACCCTGTCAATTCCCCTGAGAATTTTGTATGTGGTGATCATGTCTCCCCTAGCTCTTCTGTCTTCCAGCGACGTGAGGTGCAGTTCAACCTCTGAACTTTTTCCAGCTTCGTCTTGTGCTTGACTAGATACAGGTTCCAAGCTGGGGCCGCATACTCCAGGATTGGCCTTACATATAATAATAATAATAATAATAAATTATAATAAATGTTTATTCAGGTAAGGTACATACATACAAGAGGTTATACAAAAATTGATAGATTTATAGATAGAGCTAGTACATACAATGCCTAAAGCCACTATTACGCACAGCGTTTCGGCCAGGACAAACATTAAAGACTAAAACTTAATACTAATTGAGTTTAAAGTATAAAATGTGTTGAGAACAAATAAAAATAAAAAAAAGGGTGGAACATGGCTGAAAAAGCAGCACAAATACAAATAGGTCGACAAACAGCGTTGTTTAAAAAAAAACTGGCATGGGTTGGCAATAGAGGGGTAAGGTAGGTTACAGGGAATTTATTAGGTAGTGCTTCGTTTTTACCTTAAACTGGTTGAGAGAGGTACAGTCTTTAACATGGTTGGGAAGGTCATTCCACATTCTGGGTCCCTTGATTTGCAGAGCATTTCTAGTTTGATTAAGACGTACTCTTGGAATATCAAAACTGTATTTGTTTCTGGTGTGGTGCTCATGGGTTCTGTTACAACCTTTTATGAAGCTTTTGAGGTCAGGATTGGCATTACAGTTCAGCGTTTTATATATGTATAATACATATGAGAGAATGTGCAGTGACTTAATATCTAACATATTCAGAGATTTGAGTAGGTGTCTGGGGCCAGAGTTCGATATTGTCCTAATAGCAGCTTTGTGTTGAGTAATTAGAGGACGTAAATGATTTTGGGTAGTAGAGCCCCAAGCACAAATACCATAGTTGAGATATGGATAGATGAGGGAGTAATAGAGCGTCACCAGGGCAGGGCGGGGTACATAATATCTGATCTTAGAAAGAATGCCAACAGTTTTTGAAACTTTTTTTATATATTTAGAATGTGTCCCTAGAAATTCAGCTTGTTGTAAATGAGAACGCCAAGGAATTTGCCATCTATTTTGTTACAAATTTGGGTATTGTTTATTCTGAGATTTATTTGATTAGAGGATTTATTGCCAAACAGAATATAGAAAGTTTTGTCAATGTTAAGGGTGAGTTTGTTGGCAGTTAGCCACAGATGGACTTTATTAAGCTCAGTATTTACTGAGGCATTTAGAGCAAGGGGGTCAGGACTGGAGTAAATGAAGGTTGTGTCGTCAGCAAATAGAATTGGTTTGAGGTGTTGGGAGGCATTTGGAAGGTCATTAATGTAGATGAGAAAGAGGAGAGGGCCAAGTATGCTGCCCTGGGGAACACCAATGTTGATGGGTAGGGTGGGAGAAATTGAATTATTCATATAAACATACTGGAGCCTGTCAGTAAGGTAAGATTTGAGGTATTCCAGGGAGTAATCTCTGACTCCATAATGATGTAATTTAAGAAGAAGGTTTACATATTGGTATTTATCACTAATATAGGAACCAATAAAGTCCAAAGCAAGCCCTCGAATACCATAGTGGGTGAAGTTTAAGTAAAAGGCAGTTGTGGTTCACAGTATCAAAGGCCTTTCTCAGGTCAATGAAGAGACCAATTGGAAATTAATTTTTGTCAAAGACTGAGTAGATTATATTAAGCAGACTAAGGGCATCATTGGAACTCTTTTGGGAACGGAAGCCAAACTGCAGGGATTTAATATGTTGAGTTTTACAAAGTAGGAATAGAGCTGTTTGTAAATAATTTTTTCAAATATTTTTTAAAGTAGAAATAGATTATATATTGGTCTGTAATTATATCAGTTGTCTCGCTTCCTTTATGAACTGGCGTCACTCTTGCTTTCTTACGGATATCAGGAAAAGTATGACACTCTAGTGATTTGTTGAATAAGAGAGCTATGGGTAATGGAAGTGCTCTACCTTCCACCTTGTACTATTAACTTATCTACTATTTTACTATCGAAAAATGCAACTACATAAGTATGATTTTTTGTATCACCACTTTAAATGATATAGTAATTATGTGAATTCAAATTGTGTAGTAATATACCTGACATACCTGTTATTTTTATATTTAAGATTGAATGTTTCACCTTCTAGTTTCATATCATTGCAAAGTCTGTTAAGGACCGGGCCGAAACGCGAATGTGTGTGTTAATGGTTTTGCCAGACTGTACCACCCAAGCACCAACGTGTGTAATCCCACAGCCAATTGTACCTTCTTGCATATATATATATATATATATATATATATATATATATATATATATATATATATATATATATATATATATATATATATATATATATATATATATATATATATATATATATATATATATATATATATATATGTCGTACCTAGTAGCCAGAACTCACTTCTCAGCCTACTATGCAAGGCCTGATTTGCCTAATAAGCCTAGTTTTCATGAATTAATGTTTTTTAGACAACCTAACCTACCTAACCTAACCTAACCTAACGTTTTCGGCTACCTAACCTAACCTATAGAGATTGGTTAGGTTAGGTTAGGTAGGGTTGGTTAGGTTCGGTCATATATCTACGTTAATTTTAACTCCAATAAAAAAAATTGACCTCATACACAATGAAATGGGTAGCTTTATCATTTCATAAGAAAAAAATTAGAGAAAATATATTAATTCAGTAAAACTTGGCTTATTAGGCAAATCGGGCCTCGCATAGTAGGCTGAGAAGTGAGTTCTGGCTACTAGGTACGACATATATATATATATATATATATATATATATATATATATATATATATATATATATATATATATATATATATATATATATATATATATATAGTGACGGTAACGCGTTGGTGTTCGGCTGTTTAAGGCTAGGGGTATGGCCTCGTCACATAGTTATAAAAAAAAATAGAAAAACTGGAACTTCGTCTGTGGTAAGGTAAGGAGAAGACACACAAAACACAAGTAAATTTTAACAATGAAATTTTAATTACGTTAAATAAATCAAAACATGAATAAAATGCACAAACAAATTCTTATAATAAAATCAATCAATCAAAATAATAAGAATACTTAAATGACACAATGAAAAGTTACGTTAAGGCAAAATAACAAGAAGTGCAATACAAAATTAAATGGGAGGTGCTGGAATATTGGCTTTAAGCTATCACCTCTCTCAGTACACGCTAACGTCTAGCTGGGAGGAGTGATAACCACGAAAGCACTGAACATTCTGAGGTCTGAGGTCGTGGCGACCCCAGACATCAAGTAGTATGGGGGGGCGAGTGCAGGTGCAGCCAGACCGGCGACCAATCAGCGGGGCCGGTAGCGATCAACGGGTAGTTTGGTGGTTTGAGTCCGAACAGGTGTCTCTGGCTGCAACGTTTTGCGCTCTGGCAAGCCTTGCTGGTGTTGTTGTCGTTGTTGGACATTTCTTCCATAGTAGTTTTATATAATTTCAACTACGTAATTATGGAGGGAAGAGCAGGCTCAATCTCTTGAAGGAGATTATCGTCACAATATATATATATATATATATATATATATATATATATATATATATATATATATATATATATATATATATATATATATATATATATATATACATATAAAAGTTTGTGAGGGTACCACCTCTGGTGCCAATGTGGGGACCCATAGCCTCGGAGAAGAAAATAAAAAGTATTCAGAGGAGATCTTGTGGTTTCTCACTGAACACAAATATTATCTTCTCCTACCACCCCCATTCTTTTGTATGTACACATATATATTTACTTTATTTGAACTTTGTTACAAAAAAGGAGTTACATATGGGTTACAAAGATGGTTGTCATAGGTTGTCGAGTTCCTCCAGCTCCTCAGATGGCGGGCAGGAACCCTGGATGCAGTGCGCATTTCCCCTCTGTATCGCCACACTGAGGCGCTGGAAAAGAAAGCTTGCAGCTCTCGGGTCCCTTGTTGTTTCAATGAGCCTAGAACCCAGTTCCTTCAAAAAACTGGTAGCACTTTTACCCCAGGCGCCGAGCGTCTCAGAAGCAATGGGGACAAAATTGTAGTATATATATATATATATATACATAAATATAAAAATACAATTAAGTAAATCAATTCTAAGTAATGCATTAACGTTATGAATTCTAGCAACTTTAAATTTTCGAAAACGTTTTCAAGGTTTGTAAATCGTCTATTTATATTCGAAATATTTTCCAATAGATCATCAAGCTATTTTTTTTATTTTTTATATGTACTGTGAGCTGACAACTGACGTATATACCAAATTCACTTCATTACTTGTCAATGTCTGCTTGACCATTGGATTACATTTATCATCACTGACAGGAGTTAACATTGGTTAATATGGTCCAGTGTTGTGTGAATTTAATATTTATTGATCTTGCTCAGTCAGTTTCCTGCTTTGATAGGAATGGACCTCTTTAATCGGGCCCGCTTGCTGAACGTGGGGTTCCTGGAGGCCCGGAAGGAGGGCCCCTGGGACTGCTACGCCTTCCACGACGTTGATATGCTTCCTGAGAACGACTTCCACCTCTACCACTGCTCCGCCCAGCCCAGACACCTCGCTGTAGCCACCTCCAATAACAATTACCGGTGAGCACGGCTAAAGTTTATTGATATGTGTGTATTTACTATTTGTATGTGTGTATTTACTGTTTGTATGTGTGTATTTACTATTTGCATGTGTGTATTTACTATTTGCATGTGTGTATTTACTATTTATATGTGTGTATTTACTACTTGTAGGTGTGTATTTACTATTTGTGTGTGTGTATATACTATTTGTATGTGTGTATATACTATTTGTATGTGTGCATTTACTATTTGTATGTATTTAATATTTGTATGTATGTGGATAACAAGAACTTTTCACACTAGAGATGCTATACCGATGATGATACTTTTCAAAACGCTTGTACTCTCTAGAGTGGAGTACTGCTGCACAATGACAGCCCCTTTCAAAGCTAGAGAAATTGCTGACCTGGAGAGCGTGCAGAGATCCTTTACTGCTAGAATCCACTCAGTAAAACATCTAAATTACTGGGACCGACTAAAGAGCCTAAATCTGTACTCCCTTGAGCGCAGGCGGGAGAGATACATAATAATTTACACGTGGAAAATAATTGAGGGGCTGGTCCCAAACCTGCACACAGAAATAACATCACATGAGACCAGAAGGCATGGCAGGATGTGCAGAATACCCCCGTTGAAAAGCAGAGGTGCAACAGGTACTCTGAGAGAGAACTCTATCAACATCAGAGGCCCGAGACTGTTCAACACGCTTCCGCTACACATAAGGGGCATAACTGGCCGACCCCTCACAGTGTTCAAGAGAGAACTGGATAAGCACCTCCAAAAAATACCTGATCAACCAGGCTGTGACTCATACGTCAGGCTGCGAGAAGCCGCGTCCAACAGCCTGGTTGATCAGTCCAGCAACCAGGAGGCCTGGTCGACGACCGGGCCGCGGGGACGCTAAGCCCCGGAAGCACCTCAAGGTAACCTCAAGGTATGTGTATATACTATTTGTATGTGTGTATTTACTATTTGCATATGTGTATTTACTATTTGCATATGTGTATTTACTATTTATATGTGTGTATTTACTACTTGTAGGTGTGTATTTACTATTTGTGTATGTGTGTATTTACTATTTGTATTTACAGTTTGTGGCTGCTGGATCGGGTTCTTAGCTCTTGGGCCCCACTTTTGTAACTGTCGGTTGTCTGATGTACTGACTTCCAACTTATTTTTCATCTATCATATCTGCTACATATACTTTTCTGAAACATAAGCATCCACAGAATGGAGAGATGTAATGGCTGATGTGTCTGAAGGGTCGCCACTAAGGCATCTCCTGGTCCTAATATATGTAAACCATCTAACAGAGCAACTGAGCTCACTGTTATCCAGGTTTACTGAGAAGGCTAAGCTAATGAGGCCAATCAGAACTGAGAAGAAATGCAATACATTTGGCTACGAAGGCTACTACACTAACACAAATGCATGGTTATGAGGACAGGAGTTGGAGCAAGAAAACCTCAAATACAGCACAAAATGATGGAAAGACGACTTCTGAAGCAGAGAAAGATATAGGAGTGGACATACGAGATGTTACAGCAGAGGCTCACATCAGCAGACTTACAATGGCTGCATGTACCATACTGGCGAACGTCCTGTTATCCTTCAGCAACTTGCACAAAGATCACTTCCGAACACTGTATACGTCCTTCGTCAGTTCTACTATTCAGTATGCGGCCCCAGCATGGAACCCCCACCTTAAGACGCGCAACACATCTTGAAGAGGTCCAAACATATGTAACAAGGCTTGTTCCTGAAGAAAGACTGAGGATATTGGACCTTACTACACTTGAGGAATGAGGGCAGACATGACAACGACATACAAGATGAAAAAATAAATTGAAGCAATGTGGTGACTGGAACCCATGATCAAGGAACTGCCAGCCAAGCACCTTATCCCTGCACGGCCGGCAGTGTCATGATCACGGGTTCGAGTCACCACCTTGATCAAGGGTTCGAGTCACCACCTTGATCAAGGGTTCGAGTCACCACCTTGATCAAGGGTTCGAGTCACCACCTTGATCAAGGGTTCGAGCCACCACCTTGATCAAGGGTTCGAGTCACCACCTTGATCAAGGGTTCGAGTCACCACCTTGATCAAGGGTTCGAGTCACCACCTTGATCAAGGGTTCGAGTCACCACCTTGATCAAGGGTTCGAGTCACCACCTTGATCAAGGGTTCGAGTCACCACCTTGATCAAGGGTTCGAGTCACCACCTTGATCAAGGGTTCGAGCCACCACCTTGATCAAGGGTTCGAGTCACCACCTTGATCAAGGGTTCGAGCCACCACCTTGATCAAGGGTTCGAGTCACCACCTTGATCAAGGGTTCGAGTTACCACCTTGATCAAGGGTTCGAGTCACCTCATTGCTCCAATTGATTTTCGCATTGATAAATCTTTTTCAGTTTAATGTTTACATAAAGCCTACAAATAACTAGTCTTATGCTCATTATATCTCACGGTAAAGATACAATGTGAAACAATAATTGTTGTGCTCATTGTATCAAAGAGCTCTTCAAACTGGTAGCCCAGAATTCTTGGATGAAGAGCTTGAAAATATTGAATCGATTGGTCTCAAGCTTTCTTATCCACTAAGTTTTTTCGAAGTTTGTCTTAGCAATGCTCAATGTACATATTATTACAACATATGCATTGGGAAATTTGCAAAAAAGCGGTGTTATATTTATGATATTTTTTCTGGGTTCAAAAGTATTGTCAAGGCTTTGAAACGTTTTGATATACAAGTGTTTTTTAATTATGAAAATTCAATTGGAAAATAATTAGTTAGAAATAGCCATTGTAGTGACAACTGTGTCAACTACAAAATACCTAGTAAGGATGGGTATACATTCAATATAGCTTCAATATACATCCAAAGATTTGAAATATCAAATTTTGCTGCATAAATATTCTGTAAAAAAATGACCAATTATTTAATGCTCTTTTATTAATTTGTCGGAAACTTCTAACTAAACTGATTGGGAGAGGTCTTACTGAATAACAAATTATATAAGCATTTCTAAAATATACATTACTGAAACTGCTTTAATACAAATTACAAAGCCAGACACGATGAACATTAGTATTTTTTTATTTTTAATTGATCAATTAAAAACGATTTCAGTAAGATCCTTAATACACAACAATCTCATTAGGGATGCTGCTTCCTGGAACTCACCTGTATTGATCATCACGCCTTGGGCAGTGATGATCAATACATGAACAATACATGATCCCTCGCGTTTGTATGTGCGTGAACCAATGTTACAAAGACATATTTTCACCACTCATGTATCCTTCCTGCCTATATATCTTCCTGCACTGAATTGTAACACTTATAATGTGTTGATTAACGTGAAATTGCTTCATTCATATATGTATCTATGATATATATATATATATATATATATATATATATATATATATATATATATATATATATATATATATATATATATATATATAATATATATATATATATATATATATATATATATATATATATGTGCGGAAAAACCACAAAGAAATAGGAAAGAGAGGTGAACGTTTCGGCTTGCTAAAGCCTTTGTCAACACCAGACTAACGAGGTAGCGCTTGTTCACTGAGGCATTTTCGAAGAAACGGAGGCGAAGCTTTAAGCCTCTTGAGCCTTTTGTTACTAAACTTCGTTCTGATTTAGTGAAATCTCATTCCTTAAAGCTTCGCCTCCGTTTTCTTCGAAAATGCCTCGGTGAAAAAGTGCTACCCCGTTAGTCTGGTGTTGACAAAGGCTTTAACAGGCCGAAACGTTCACCTCTCTTTCCCATTTCTTTGTGGTTTTTCCGCATACAAATGATCAGTGTTTAGTGATCGTCAATTGCATATATATATATATATATATATATATATATATATATATATATATATATATATATATATATATATATATATATATATATATATTTTATTAAATATGACCGAAAAAGTAAGATTAATAATTCTAACACGAATTTTCTCAATCTTTCGTACATTATGCTTCACTGTTGGAGGTAAATCAAAAATCACTTCTCCAAAATTCATTTTTATTTCTAGTCTGACGCGACACGGGCGCGTTTCGTAAAACTTATTACATTTTCAAAGACTTCACAAATACACAACTGATTAGAACTTGCGTTTCCCTGATTTTATATCTACATTTGAGTGAGGTGGGAAGGGTGATGTGGCATTACATTTGAGTAAGGTGGGAAGGATGATGTGGCATTAGAGGATATTAATAGGGTATTAAAAGTATCAACACAAGACAGAACACGAAACAATGGATATTGAATAGAAGTGTTTGTAGAAAGCCTATTGGTCCATATTTCTTGATGCTTCTATATTGGAGCGGAGTCTTGAGGTGGGTAGAATATAGTTGTGCAATAATTGGCTGTTGATTGCTGGTGTTGACTTCTTGATGTGTAGTGCCTCGCAAACGTCGAGCCGCCTGCTATCGCTGTATCTATCGATGATTTCTGTGTTGTTTACTAGGATTTCTCTGGCGATGGTTTGGTTATGGGAAGAGATTATATGTTCCTTAATGGAGCCCTGTTGTTTATGCATCGTTAAACGCCTAGAAAGAGATGTTGTTGTCTTGCCTATATACTGGGTTTTTTGGAGCTTACAGTCCCCAAGTGGGCATTTGAAGGCATAGACGACGTTAGTCTCTTTTAAAGCGTTCTGTTTCGTGTCTGGAGAGTTTCTCATGAGTAGGCTGGCCGTTTTTCTGGTTTTATAGTAAATCGTCAGTTGTATCCTCTGATTTTTGTCTGTAGGGATAACGTTTCTATTAACAATATCTTTCAGGACCCTTTCCTCTGTTTTATGAGCTGTGGAAAAGAAGTTCCTGTAAAATAGTCTAATAGGGGGTATAGGTGTTGTGTTAGTTGTCTCTTCGGAGGCTGCATGGCTTTTCACTTTCCTTCTTATGATGTCTTCGATGAAACCATTGGAGAAGCCGTTATTGACTAGAACCTGCCTTACCCTACAGAGTTCTTCGTCGACTTGCTTCCATTCTGAGCTGTGGCTGAGAGCACGGTCGACGTATGCGTTAACAACACTCCTCTTGTACCTGTCAGGGCAGTCGCTGTTGGCATTTAGGCACATTCCTATGTTTGTTTCCTTTGTGTAGACTGCAGTGTGGAAACCTCCGCCCTTTTCCATGACTGTTACATCTAGAAAAGGCAGCTTCCCATCCTTTTCCGTCTCGTAAGTGAAACGCAGCACGGAACTCTGCTCAAATGCCTCCTTCAGCTCCTGCAGATGTCTGACATCAGGTACCTGTGTAAAAATGTCGTCAACATACCTGCAGTATATGGCCGGTTTCAAGTTCATGTCGACTAAGACTTTTTGCTCGATGGTACCCATGTAGAAGTTTGCAAACAGGACACCTAGGGAGAACCCATAGCGACCCCATCTACTTGCTTATACATGTGCCCATCCGGGCTCAAGAAGGGTGCCTCTTTAGTACAAGCTTGGAGTAGTTTCCTCAGAATACTTTCTGGCATGTCAAGAGGAGTACAGGCTGGATCACGATACACTCTGTCGGCTATCATTCCGATTGTCTCGTCCACAGGTACGTTGGTAAACAGCGATTCTACGTCCAACGAGGCTCTTATCCCTGTGGCCCGTGCGCCCCGCAGTAAGTCCACAAATTCCTTTGGAGACTTCAGGCTGAAGGCGCAAGGAACATAAGGAGTCAGCAGGCCGTTGAGTCGCTTCGCCAAGCTGTACGTGGGTGTGGGTATCTGGCTAATGATTGGCCGAAGTGGGTTTCCAGGCTTGTGCGTCTTGACATTTCCATACGCATATCCAGGTTTATATTCCCCAATGATCTTTGGCAGGTGGAGTCCGGATTTCTTGGCGTTCACAGTTTCGATCAGTTTGTTGACCTTTGCTTTTAATTCGGCTGTAGTGTCCTTCGTTACCCTTTGGAACTTAGTTTGGTCAGAGAGTATGATGTTCATTTTCGCCAGATATTCGTCTTTTTTAAGAATGACATATATTGGCGACTTGTCACCTCTCCTGACAACTATCTCCTTGTTCTCACGAAGGCTTTTAGCTGCCGCTCTAAGCTCGGGGGACAGTATGGTGCTTCTGTAGTTGCCTCGATTCTTTCCTCCTTCTGCAATAAGTTCTGCTTGTAAGGTATCTTTGGTAGTGACCTTCTTTTGTGTCTCGAGGTCGAATATGTCGTCCAACAGAATTTCCAGGAAAGTGAAAAGCCATGCAACCTCCGAAGAGACAACTAACACAACACCTATACCCCCTATTAGACTATTTTACAGGAACTTCTTTTCCACAGCTCATAAAACAGAGGAAAGGGTCCTGAAAGATATTGTTAATAGAAACGTTATCCCTACAGACAAAAATCAGAGGATACAACTGACGATTTACTATAAAACCAGAAAAACGGCCAGCCTACTCATGAGAAACTCTCCAGACACGAAACAGAACGCTTTAAAAGAGACTAACGTCGTCTATGCCTTCAAATGCCCACTTGGGGACTGTAAGCTCCAAAAAACCCAGTATATAGGCAAGACAACAACATCTCTTTCTAGGCGTTTAACAATGCATAAACAACAGGGCTCCATTAAGGAACATATAATCTCTTCCCATAACCAAACCATCGCCAGAGAAATCCTAGTAAACAACACAGAAATCATCGATAGATACAGCGATAGCAGGCGGCTCGACGTTTGCGAGGCACTACACATCAAGAAGTCAACACCAGCAATCAACAGCCAATTATTGCACAACTATATTCTACCCACCTCAAGACTCCGCTCCAATATAGAAGCATCAAGAAATATGGACCAATAGGCTTTCTACAAACACTTCTATTCAATATCCATTGTTTCGTGTTCTGTCTTGTGTTGATACTTTTAATACCCTATTAATATCCTCTAATGCCACATCATCCTTCCCACCTTACTCAAATGTAATGCCACATCACCCTTCCCACCTCACTCAAATGTAGATATAAAATCAGGGAAACGCAAGTTCTAATCAGTTGTGTATTTGTGAAGTCTTTGAAAATGTAATAAGTTTTACGAAACGCGCCCGTGTCGCGTCAGACTAGAAATAAAAATGAATTTTGGAGAAGTGATTTTTGATTTACCTCCAACAGTGAAGCATAATGTACGAAAGATTGAGAAAATTCGTGTTAGAATTATTAATCTTACTTTTTCGGTCATATTTAATAAAATATGTCTACAGGAAAGACTGCTACCAAAATATACTAATATATATATATATATATATATATATATATATATATATATATATATATATATATATATATATATATATATATATATATATATATATATATATATATATATATATTTATCTAACTTTATTTGAAAATGTCATTACACAAAAAAGTTACAATATTGATTACATGCAGGGTACAAGGCTGCTTGTCACAAGTTGTACAGCTCTTCCAGCTCCTCAGATGGCGGGCAGGAACCATGGATGCAGCGAGCATTTCCTCTCTGGATTGCCACACTAAGGCGCTGAAAAAGAAAACTGGCAGCTCTAGGGTCTCTAGTTGTTTCGATTAGCTTAGACCCCAACTCCTTCAAAAAGCTAGCAGCACTTTTACCCCAGGCACCAAGTGTCTGAGGCAATGGGGACAAAATTGTAGTGGTCCTCAAGGTCTCTGTATTTACGTGACTTGGCCGCTTCCCGGTGACTGGCAGCTCCTCCTGCTTGTGTAGCACTGAAGTCAACATAGGTATTGGCTAAAGTTGAAACGCAAGTGTAGTCCCACACCAACTGTCTACCATTCTTCCAGGGGTTCACCGTGATTCCGTCTGGGCGACCGACAGGCTCATCAGAGTTGCGGGACATTAGGTAACGGGGCTCTCTCTCTGCTGGACAACTGGTTGTGGTAAGGCTTCTCTTAATAATGTCATTGACCTCTCCGTGTCTTGCATGCCATCCTCCTGTCCTTTGGCAGAGAAGGCCATGCCGTCTGTATCTGTCGGCCTCTGCCTCACCGCAAATACACCTGTATTCGGTGTGGATTGGGGCAGCGAGGCGGAGAGCCACGGCAATTCGGAGGGCCTGCGGTGTGAGACGGGTGCCGGTTGCTGACATTGGGGTTGATAATAGGAAATCACCTGCATGGGGAGCTGCTACAGCTCTAAGTCGGGCAGTGTCATGTGGTGTTGTCGCAGCTTCTTGGTCGGCAATGGGGCGATCCCAGCTGGATTGCTTATGGGCTTCAGAAGGCGGTGGTTTGGGTGCTAGTCCTGCGAGAGAGACCCATTTGGTTGTGCAGTCTGTGAAGCTGGGATCATGCACCCCTGCCTGTTGAACTAGGTGCTCAGGTAGGATTTCCGTCACCAAGTTGTCAGACCCCACTGAAGAGGACAGGAACGCTGGTACAGCAATTTGTGTTGCTGTGCGCACGCCAAGGCCCCCGAGTCTGACAGGAAGGGAGGCCTGTTTCCAATGTGAGTCGCTGAGGGAAAGATTGAGGGCTTTTTCTAGTGTTGATTTCAACAAGCTATCGTACTCTTCTAATTTAATATTGTTGAAAGATGGCGAACATCTTAGGAAGTAGGTCAGTCTGGGGAGGGACAAGCATCTGGTGATGATTGGCCTTCTCCCAGTCTAGTCCAGCTCTATGGAAGCTCCTGAAGTTACTTGACAACTACTAACATCAACTGAATCAGTTCATTCTGGCCTCCACGGCTGGGACAACAGTCACCCTCCATGGCTGGGACAACAGTCACCCTCCACGGCTGGGACAACAGTCACCCTTCACGGCTGGGACCACAGTCACCCTCCACGGCTGGGACAACAGTCACCCTTCACGGCTGGGACAACAGTCACCCTCCACGGCTGGGACAACAGTCACCCTCCACGGCTGGGACAACAGTCACCCTCCACAGCTGGGACAACAGTCACCCTCCACGGCTGGGACAACAGTCACCCTCCATGGCTGGGACAACAGTCACCCTCCATGGCTGGGACAACAGTCACCCTCCACGGCTGGGACAACAGTCACCCTCCACGGCTGGGACAACAGTCACCCTCCACGGCTGGGAAAACAGTCACCCTCCACGGCTGGGACAACAGTCACCCTCCACAGCTGGGACAACAGTCACCCTCCACGGCTGGGACAACAGTCACCCTCCACAGCTGGGACAACAGTCACCCTCCACGGCTGGGACAACAGTCACCCTCCACAGCTGGGACAACAGTCACCATCCACGGCTGGGACAACAGTCACCCTCCACGGCTGGGACAACAGTCACCCTCCACGGCTGGGACAACAGTCACCCTCCACGGCTGGGACAACAGTCACCCTCCACGGCTGGGACAACAGTCACCCTCCACGGCTGGGACAACAGTCACCCTCCACAGCTCAAGCATCTTACCACCTCTCTCACAATCGTTAAATAATAATTCGTGATGCGGGGACAGATAGCCAGTGTGTATTTATGCCCGTTAGGCTTATATCGAGGTCTCCCCGGAAGGTCAGATTACAGACCCCGCCCCTTGATGCAACCCCACAACAAGCTGACTAACTCCTGAGTACCTACTTAGGTGAACAGGGGCATGAGGTGACAGGCCGCGCACCTAACCTTCCCTTTCACTCCCGAGAATCACAACGGTTATTTTTTTGCAGGTCGTCCCACAACTTGCCTTACAACACGTACTTCGGGGGCGCGTGTCTGATGACGGAGGGCCACATCAGGAAGGTGAACGGCTGGAGCAACATATACTGGGGCTGGGGAGCTGAGGACGACGACATGTGGCGACGCATCGCCTTCGCTGACATGGCCGTCTGGAGGTACCCGCCGCACTACGCTCGCTACAAGATGATCAAACACAAGTCTCAAGTCGTTAATCAAAACAGGTTCGTGACCTTGTAAAGGTAAGGGAGATGGACCCTGTGGTAAGGGGGCGGGACCTTGTGGAAAGGGGGCGGGACCTTGAGGTAAGGGGACAGGACCTTGTGGTAAGGGGGCGGGACCTTGTGGTAAGGGGGCGGGACCTTGTGGTAAGGGGGCGGGACCTTGTGGTAAGGGGGCGGGACCTTGTGGTAAGGGGGCGGGACCTTGTGGTAAGGGGGCGGGACCTTGTGGAAAGCAGACAGGACCTTGTGGTAAGGGGGCAAGACCTAGTGGTAAGGGGCGGGACCTTGTGGTAAGGGGGCGGGACCTTGTGGTAAGGGGGCAAGACCTTGTGGTAAGGGGGCGGGACCTTGTGGTAAGGGGGCGGGACCTTGTGGAAAGCAGACAGGACCTTGTGGTAAGGGGGCAAGACCTAGTGGTAAGGGGCGGGACCTTGTGGTAAGGGGGCAGGACCTTGTGGTAAGGGGGCAAGACCTTGTGGTAAGGGGGCGGGACCTTGTGGTAAGGGGCAGGACCTTGTGGTAAGGGGGCGGGACCTTGTGGTAAGGGGGCGGGACCTTGTGGTAAGGGAGATGGACCCTGTGGTAAGGGGGCGGGACCTTGTGGTAAGGGGGCGGGACCTTGTGGTAAGGGGGCAGGACCTTGTGGTAAGGGGGCAGGACCTTGTAGTAAGGGGGCGGGACCTTGTGGTAAGGGGGCGGGACCTTGTGGTAAGGGGGCGGGACCTAGTGGTAAGGGGGCGGGACCTAGTGGTAAGGGGGCGGGACCTTGTGGTAAGGGGACGGGACCTTGTGGTAAGTGGGCGGGACCTTGTGGTAAGGGGGCGGGACCTTGTGGTAAGGGGTGGGACCTTGTGGTAAGGGGGCGGGACCTTGTAGTAAGGGGGCGGGACCTTGTAGTAAGGGGGCAGGACCTTGTGGTAAGGGGGCAGGACCTTGTGGTAAGGGGGCAAGACCTTGTGGTAAGGGGGCGGGACCTTGTGGTAAGGGGGCGGGACCTTGTAGTAAGGGGGCGGGACCTTGTAGTAAGGGGGCAGGACCTTGTGGTAAGGGGGCAGGACCTTGTGGTAAGGGGCGGGACCTTGTGGTAAGGGGACAGGACCTTGTGGTAAGGGGGCAAGACCTTGTGGTAAGGGGGCGGGACCTTGTGGTAAGGGGGCGGGACCTTGTGGTAAGGGGACGGGACCTTGTGGTAAGGGGGCGGGACCTTGTGGTAAGGGGGCAGGACCTTGTGGTAAGGGGCGGGACCTTGTGGTAAGGGGTGGGACACTGTGGTAAGGGGTAGGACTCTGTGGTAAGGGGTGGGACTCTGTGGTAAGGGGTGGGGCACTGTGGTAAGGGGGGCGGAACCTTGTGGTAAGGGGTGGTACTCTGTGGTAAGGGGTGGGACACTGTGGTAAGGGGCGGGACCTTGTGGTAAGGGGTGGTACACTGTGGTAAGGGGTGGGTCACTGTGGTAAAGGGTGGGACACTGTGGTAAGGGGTGGGACACTGTGGTAAGGGGTGGGACACTGTGGTAAGGGTGGGACACTGTGGTAAGGGTGGGACACTGTGGTAAGGGGTGGGACACTGTGGTAAGGGTGGGACACTGTGGTAAGGGGTGGGTCACTGTGGTAAGGGGTGGGACACTGTGGTAAGGGGCGGGACACTGGTAAGGGGTGGGACACTGTGGTAAGGGGTGGGACACTGTGGTAAGGGGTGGGTCACTGTGGTAAGGGGTGGGGCACTGTGGTAAGGGGTGGGTCACTGTGGTAAGGGGTGGGACACTGTGGTAAGGGGTGGGACACTGTGGTAAGGGGTGGGACACTGTGGTAAGGGGTGGGACACTGTGGTAAGGGGTGGGACACTGTGGTAAGGGGTGGGACACTGTGGTAAGGGGTGGGTCACTGTGGTAAGGGGTGGGACACTGTGGTAAGGGGTGGGGCACTGTGGTAAGGGGTGGGTCACTGTGGTAATTGGTGGGACTCTGTGGTAAGGGGCGGGACACTGTGGTAAGGGGTGGGACACTGTGGTAAGGGGTGAGACACTGTGGTAAGGGGCGGGACACTGTGGTAAGGGGTGGGACACTGTGGTAAGGATCGGGACACTGTGGTAAGGGGTGGGCCACTGTGGTAAGGGGAAGGGACCTTGTGGTAAGGGGTGGGACTCTGTGGTAAGGGGTGGGGCACTGTGGTAAGGGGAGGGACACTGTGGTAAGGGGTGGGTCACTGTGGTAAGGGGTGGGTCACTGTGGTAAGGGGTGGGACACTGTGGTAAGGGGTGGGACACTGTGGTAAGGGGTGGGTCACTGTGGTAAGGGGTGGGACACTGTGGTAAGGGGTGGGACACTGTGGTAAGGGGTGGGACACTGTGGTAAGGGGTGGGACACTGTGGTAAGGGGTGGGTCACTGTGGTAAGGGGTGGGACACTGTGGTAAGGGGCGGGACACTGTGGTAAGGGGTGGGACACTGTGGTAAGGATCGGGACACTGTGGTAAGGGGTGGGCCACTGTGGTAAGGGGAAGGGACCTTGTGGTAAGGGGTGGGACTCTGTGGTAAGGGGTGGGGCACTGTGGTAAGGGGCGGGACACTGTGGTAAGGGGTGGGTCACTGTGGTAAGGGGTGGGTCACTGTGGTAAGGGGTGGGACACTGTGGTAAGGGGTGGGACACTGTGGTAAGGGGTGGGTCACTGTGGTAAGGGGTGGGTCACTGTGGTAAGGGGTGGGACGCTGTGGTAAGGGGTGGGGCACTGTGGTAAGGGGTGGGTCACTGTGGTAAGGGGTGGGACTCTGTCGTAAGGGGTGGGACACTGTGGTAAGGGGTGGGACACTGTGGTAAGGGGAAGGGACCTTGTGGTAAGGGGGAGGGACCTTGTGGTAAGGGGTGGGTCACTGTGGTAAGGGGTGGGACACTGTGGTAAGGGGTGGGACACTGCGGTAGGGGGTGGGACACTGTGGTAAGGGGTGGGACAATGTGGTAAGGGGTGGGACAATGTGGTAAGGGGTGGGCCACTGTGGTAAGGGGTGGTACACTGTGGTAAGGGGTGGGACAATGTGGTAAGGGGTGGGACACTGTGGTAAGGGGTGGGACAATGTGGTAGGGGGTGGGACACTGTGGTAAGGGGTTGTACACTGTGGTAAGGGGTGGGACACTGTGGTAAGGGGTGGGACACTGTGGTAAGGGGTGGGACAATGTGGTAAGGGGTGGGACTCTGTGGTAAGGGGCGGGACACTGTGGTAAGGGGTGGGACACTGTGGTAAGGAGTGGTACTCTGTGGTAAGGGTGGGACAATGTGGTAAGGGGTGGGACTCTGTGGTAAGGGGTGGGACACTGTGGTAAGGGGTGGTACTCTGTGGTAAGGGTGGGACAATGTGGTAAGGGGTGGGACTCTGTGGTAAGGGGTGGGACACTGTGGTAAGGGGTGGGACACTGTGGTAAGGGGCGGGACACTGTGGTAAGGGGTGGGATACTGTGGTGTCCCACAGCAAGCGTTGATAATGGCTTCTCAATACCTTATTTTCATTATCATTGACACTATTTACTTTTAGATTAAGTTAATTAACATATTTAACATATTACCTCGTCTCTCACATACCTCTGTGTTGAACCATAGAGAGAATTTGCAATGTTCAGGTACTGATATACAGGTTTCGTATTCAGAGTTACCGTATCCTCCAGCTTTTCATCACAGTGCCGTAATCACACCTCCTGGCTCGCTCCGTGTGAATATCTACTGCTCGGTACAGCCACACCTCACCTCACATGTAACATTTTCTACTTCTGCCACCTGGTAGAAGTAGAAGACGTTATTGGTAGATAAGCAATACTGTTTTTAATTGATTTTTGTTCTTGCATAGATGTAGCAAAGTCGTCCACATAGATCAGTTAGCCAATTGCTCTTGGGCCCGACCACTGTGGACACGGTATATGTGTCTGTAGTTATAACATTTCGACTTTGTCTGTGGCTGTGGTGGGAGAGTTAACTTTAACACTTGTCTCTGGCCGCAGGTACAAGATGCTGGAACGCAATACTGGAAGGTTTATAATAGATGGCCTCAACAGCCTCAACTACACAGTGAAAGCGACCACGAGGTACCCTCTCTACACCCACATCCTGGCAGACATCGGCTCCAGCAATGAGAACAGGGACAGTAACCCAGCTGTCGGCAGCAGCAAATCACGTCGTTCTTGACGTAGAGAGACGGACTGAGAACTGGAGAATGAAGGTGAACAGTTATCAAGAGATTACGACTCATTTTCTTCAGACTCCAACTTTATCATATTCATTCTAAGACAGTGAACTGTTGTGTCTGGTAATGTGTTTATTAATAAGAACACTGCTTAAAGTGTTATAGAACATAATTATAAAATAATTCTTATGATAGCATATTTGCCACCTGATAGCTGGTCATGTTTTGATTTCTGTTTCAACATGTATTTATTGCCTTGTTTTATTGTACAAAAAAATTAAGCCCTTTAAGTTTAAGTTTTATTTTGGGCACAGATATGTCTTGAAATTACTTCAACATGCCTGGGGCCGCATGAACATCAATGGTGCGTCAAGATTGAATGGTATCCAAGCTAACATGCATCCGAAAACTCTTGACCCCGGAATCAGGGGTCAAGAGATTGACCGGACTTACCGGATTGGAACCTGGTAAGCCAGGGCCTCCATGCCCCTTGGCATGTCCAGTTCTAGAGATATCTGTGCCCAAAATAGTCACGAGCGCTGTAGTGCACTGGGGTTAAAAGTCAAGTAACTTCCCAATACATTTGTTCATGTGGGGAAAACTGACTCATGGGATTTTATTATTTATTTTAATTACAATTATTAATTTATTTATTTAATTATTTATAACTTAATTATAATTTAGTTATTAATTTATTTCAATAGCAGACTGTAAAATTCAAAAGTGGACTGTATGATTCTAAAGTGGACTGAATGATTCAAAAGTGGACTGAATGATTCTAAAGTGGACTGTATGATTCTAAAGTGGACTGTATGATTCAAAAGTGGACTGTATGATTCAAAAGTGGACTGTATGATTCTAAAGTGGACTGTATGATTCAAAAGTGGACTGTATGATTCAAAAGTGGACTGTATGATTCTAAAGTGGACTGTATGATTCTAAAGTGGACTGTATGATTCAAAAGTGGACTGTATGATTCTAAAGTGGACTGTATGATTCAAAAGTGGACTGTATGATTCTAAAGTGGACTGTATGATTCTAAAGTGGACTGTATGATTCTAAAGTGGACTGTATAATTCAAAAGTGGACTGTATGATTCAAAAGTGGACTGTATGATTCTAAAGTGGACTGTATGATTCAAAAGTGGACTGTATGATTCTAAAGTGGACTGTATGATTCTAAAGTGGACTGTATGATTCTAAAGTGGACTGTATGATTCTAAAGTGGACTGTATGATTCTAAAGTGGACTGTATGATTCTAAAGTGGACTGTATGATTCTAAAGTGGACTGTATGATTCTAAAGTGGACTGTATGATTCTAAAGTGGACTGAATGATTCTAAATTTTCCACAAGTAGCTTCTTACACAAGTTGGGGCAGTTTATTAATAATATCCAAATCAAAATTAATAGATTGGTTCAAATTTGTTTGTAATGGTTAATCGACAAAATGGTTAGTAATAATTAACTAGGGAACAGCTTAGCTGTTTTATAGAATGTGGCCTGGTTAATGAACAATAAACACGTACATGTTGCATACGCTGAATATCTGGTGGACCAATTTATAATACCGTCGTAGCATGATATCAAAATTAAATGGAACACTTCCCTATTGGCTAGCAAATGCATGCTGATAATAGGAGATTTGGGGGTCCCACAACACTTTGACTAGAGAGAAATATTCGTGGAGCTTTGCGATCATGCTCGCGGGCAAAACTTTGTTAAAAACAGAGTCTTTTCCCTTCTCGCTCAAGCAACACATCGTGAAACTGATTCATTTCTGCCCATTTAGGGACAAACGGACGGAGGAGCTCAATTTATTTATTATTTAGTTATGTCCCGTCGTGGGTAACAATTTTTTATTGTTTCTAGTGCCCAGACTAGTGATTTAAGAATTATTTATATAGGTATTATGAATAAATTTAATCTAGGGGACGTGGTAATAACTCCCATTTTTTAAGAGAAGTCACAAACTCGATTTTTTTACATGATAAACTATTTATGGTCTATTTACATGATATTTATGGTCTTTAGTAATTGGTGTCAGAATTTCTGACATAATTTCGGGGAAAGAGAAACACATGTCGGAGTCCACTATTTAGAACTGACGAATACTGATACTCCTCCTTAGAATTATTACAATAATTTGATGTTAGTATTAATGGCACATTTGTGTGTCAGTTTGCACAGGATGGATGTCCTGTACTAGAGGTGCAGGTGTTGGACGTCTTCAGGTGACTTTGTTTTCCTGTTAACTCTTATGATACTAAGTTTCTAGCTAAATTCAGTTTTATTTAACCTGAAGGACTGAATAAGATCAATTACTACAGTCAAGTATAATTCTGGGACTGTAGTGGGATAAGTGACATTGGTCTCAGTGACTTGTAGCTTGTTTAGGTTACTGGTTACTGATTATCCACTGAGGCCCATGGAATACATCATAGCTAATAATAATTGTAGCAAAATCAGATGTCGGATTTTTATAGTCAGCAATGCTCCCTTGTACTTATTAGCTGGAGTATATTTGGATGACAAATTGGGTTTTAATTTGGTTTAATTAATTTAGAGGATTAAATGTACTCAATCATTAAAGTCAAGGATGGCTCTGAGACTGCAGTCGGATCAGTGACATTGGTCGCATTGACAAGTAGCTGTTTAAGCTACTGGTCACTGAGGCCTACTGAGGCCTTATGAGGCCATCTTCAGCTTTAAATGATGATATCAAGATCACACTCTGTTGATATAGAAAGTTGTATTCTCCATAGTATATTTTACTGGAGTTTATAATCAGCTGACAAATTTAAATTTCTACTTAAATTATTTGTCTGCAGGTATATGCTTCCTCAAGCTTAATACTGGGGTTGTGAGTAATTTGCCTCCTGCAGAATTTAACAGGTTTATTCCCTGATATTTAGTTTGGTTAATGATGAATTTGTTGTAGTAGTCTGCATCTACAAGGATTTCCATGTCGGTGATATGATCAAGCGTAATTTTATCTGCCAATTTTATTCCCCCTTTTATCAAGATTTTGGCAGTAGCTTTTAAACCCTTTACTTGTAGGTCCGTTGGAATTGTATCCACCACGATGGCTGGTACTCAATGGGCAATGCCGCCTAAACGTACTAATCGTTGCACCACTTGTTAGACTTGAGGTCCTGTATCAGCCAGGAAACCCGGTATATTTCATTTTACCTTTGTTACAGGCTTTAATTGTAGATCATTTGCCATATTTTGTTTTCCAAATGTTCTCTGGGATCCCTGGTCAAGTAACCCTCGGGTTTGGACCTTGGCCCTTAGTTTTGATGGTAAGTTGGGCAGTAGGGAAAGTTGCATGATTTCTGGACTCTGTCTAAAGGACACTGATTTTCTGTCGCACCTTGCAATACTGCACTCTGGTTATGTTTTCTTCCACCTTGGGGTCTGGAGACTTTAATTTGGTGTCCGTGCACAATGTTGCATGATGTTGATCCTTGTTACACCTATTATTGGTGTGTAATTGGGTCTCACAGGACTTGATGTGTTTCCTGAGGCACCTCGTGCAATTTTGCAACTCTTTGAGTAACTTGATACGCGCATCACGATCAGGATAATTGGTGCAGTGATATATTGAATGTTCTTCTTGGCAGAACAAACATATTCCATAGCCTACAGCACCTTTTATGGTCAATGCCTTGGGTGGCACAGTAACTGTAGGCTTGGAGGGTCCCATTGTATATATGCCCACACTGCCTTGGTTCCACTCTGGTGTGGAAATTGATTGTTTAGATTTACTTGTTGTACTCTGTGGTCTACTATTATTGGTTTCTGAAGGTTTACTTGGTGGTTTTAATTTGTCATGTGTACGTAGTTGATGAATTACTGAACGTAAACCCTCAGATATTTCACTTAAGGATGAAACACTTTTATTGTAGTGAGCACTCATTTGTCTCGTATATTCCTAGGTATTTTCTCCTGGACGATTATTTTCAAAACCCACTCAGCTTCTGTTGTATTGGCCATTAAGCTAAGGGCCTTGATCATGGAGTCTATTTCCAGCCTAAAGACTTGGTGTGACTCGGTTGAAGCCTCTGATGAGGGTAAATGCCACAGCTCGTGAAATAAGTGTGAATTTCTTACTTCAGGATCATCATAATTATCCTTGAGGAATTGTACTACGAGGTCAAAGCCGTCGCAAGTTAACCTCAGATGGGATACTACTGATTTAGCTTCAACTTGCTACTCTTTGATGAGGATGGTTTTGAGTCTACAAGGTCTAGGAATTTGTTCCAAAATTTATCCCAATCTTCCTCGTCTGTTTCTGAGAAAGTGTGTAAATTAATTGGAGGGAGTTGAGCTTCAGCTTGATTCGGATTAGATGAAACTGTTGAAGTTGCCTTGTTCTGGGCAATTATTTTGATGAAAGGATCGAGGCTGGCGTGAGCATCATCCTCATATTGTGCTAGATCAGTCATAATATCATCTAGTTCTTCAGTGGTAAATTTAGTGTTGGCAAGTTCAGCTAGATACATTTCTATCTGGCATTCGATTGCTGAAATTTACGTGTTGCTACTTGAAAGTAGGTTTCCAGCTGTGAGATTTTTTTTTCTTTGACAATTATCAAAAGAATTAAGTCCTATTGATGTTACGTTAATCGTAACTACCTCGCAAGAGAGGCAGACCTTAAACAGCAAGAGCTGCCAGTGGCAGATATGTAATCTTAAAGCCTAAGATCATAGGACCGCGGGAGCAAACCGCCAGGCGAAACCACTCGGGTAACACCTGTCACTTAGGTCGCTGGCTCCTCCTAGTTGACAACTAATAAAGGGTAGCCGACGGATTCTCACCTCTTATTTATAGAAGTGTGGTGCTGTACAATGGACTCCAGCTTTAGATACAGACTTGATATGAACATAAGCAGGAACATGAAATGTGGGTCAGTAATATTGGAAGGTTTGACGTAAACGACCGTTTTCTATAACAAACAATTTATTCACAAAACAATAACTAAAACTACTACACAGTGAATTTACGTTACTTTACTGTCACTCCAGTGGCACATTAAAGAGCAGCTAATCAACAGCCTGATGGACCCACGGTATCCTTATCCCGTCGTCGCTGACTGACTAATGACACTAACTGAACAAAGTGGTGCCCACTGGTGACGCAAGCTTGCAATCAATATTGTCACGGCTTCACGGTGACCAATACTATAATCACAAAGACTTGACTGGTGCTCGCTGCCCTCAACGAGGTACCAAGTAACAAGGCGGTTAATCCAAGAATGATAACCCCTTATAAAAATCTTACGTTAACACTTGTCTCTCAGGACAATCAAAACAAAAGTTACTCTAATTGAATTTAAACAATTACGTTAATACACACGTGTCTCAACGACACTTAAATGGCAGCAATAACTCGTACATCAATTAATTACATCAACTTGAAAGTCAAGCATTCGGTGAGTAATTCCCAGTTAATTACTGAATACAACAACCTATTAATTCAGATGAGTATTGATAAAGCCTACTGTCTCTCAACTGACAGTTCACTTCCGGTCTTACGACAAGATTACCTTAACGAGGGTAGACTACTGTACCACACACAAGGTTACAACACTCCGTGTAAACAACAACATCAACACCTGGTGAATTCACTAAGTGGCGGTTACTAATTATCTTTAATTAGCTATGAGTGCTTAATCACTCTGTCCGTAGACAGATCTGATCAGTCCAACGAATTACAGCAGCTTAATTACAGCGCAATAGACTCCGATCATAACAGACCGTCAACCCCTTACGTTAATCAATCAATTGACGACAGCTCGTTAAATCGTTAACACTACGTTAGTCTTCACTTGACAATTCCTCCACTGCGTGAACTTCAGTGTGACTGTT